CCCCCCCCCCCCCCTCTCTCTTTCTCTCTCTGTACATTATAATATAGCCATTAGAGGAAGAGAGAGGGAGGGGGGGCAGTGTGTCAGTAGAGAATAAAAACAACAGGGTGTGTTCGTTGTATGTGTGCAGAAAAGTATGAGAATATTTCATTTAAAAAAGAAACTCATTCATCCATTTCATTCACTTGCAACGATTGTCTCCATACAATGTAACCGTAATATTTAAAATCGGCGCTGTGACATTAGATCTAGATATTTATTGATTTATTGCAGTCGTATGCTAAATATATATAAATTTATATATATAGCGCTAAAAATAATGGGTGAAAACTGAGAGAGTAACATGCATAGGAAAATTAATGTTTTCATCGGAGGCCCTAAGTGGTGGACGTTTACTTTTTGTTCATGTTACAAAGGATGGTAATACTAATACTTGATAGAGAGAGGGATAGGGGGAGAGAGAGAGAGAGAGGGGGGGGGAGAGAGACAGACACACACACACAGAGACAGAGAGGAGAGAAAACTTGGAGGCTTGTGGGGGGGGGGGGGGGGGGGGGTTGTTTTGTTTTCTCTTTTTTTTTTTTTTTTAGTTTTAGTAGGGGTTTTACGGCACTCGCAACTGCATAAGGTCATATGAGCGCCAGAAGATTAGAGGTGTTACAAGAGAGTAACAAAAATAAAAAAGAACAAGGGGGATAAAGACGATAGATCTTTGATAGGAAAGAAGAAGCAAACCACACCAGAGCACCCGCCAACCACCCATTGTGAAAAAGGGGGGGGGGGGTGATTAAAGATGATGGCAAAAAGCCGTAAAGGTGACCTGTGATGTGTAGTAATACAATCAAGAAAAGAGACACAATCTAAGTGGATTCCTTTTATTTTCTTCTCGTTCAACACAAACATGATGTACTTCTGTTCATGGAAGTGAAATGGAAAGATTTCGTCATCTACGCCAAGCGTTGAAGTCAAGCATTCTCCTTTTTTGCGGGGGGGTCTCATTTTATAGATTCCATGTCGGACAGAACTAATTAATTTAACTTTTTATAATTTCTTCCCAATTAATTTGTGCCTTAAGTCCCATTCTGTCCCCGTATAATTATGCAAATTTAGAAGGCCAAATTGTGCACAAAAAAAGCAAAATTATGCAAGTTACCGTAACGCCATTTCCGACATGTTACAAGTCAAAGAGACCCTTCAAAGGAACACTACAGCATGACGATCAAAACACCTAGCATGGCATAAATCCAACAATTGACCTCCCCTCGACACCTTGTGGCATAAGAGGACAGAAAAAGTGAAAGTAAGTACTGGAGAGTAACATACAAAGAATAGGAGAGATATTATAAGGACAACAGAAGTTTAACAGGAAAGAAGGCACAAACCACACCAGAGCACCCACCGACCACTCACGTTGAGTTGGGTTTTTTTCTTTTGGGGTGGGGGTGGGTTATTAAAAAAAACATTCCCTTCTGAGTTCCCAACTGGAGTTGGTTTGCAGGCTTAGGACTGCCGTAGGCCCATTAAAATGTTTTTTGCTTTTGTTGGAGAGAGGTTTCCGCAACTAGATGGCTAGATGGGACCCCAGTAGAAGCTAGCTGTGACCTATATGATGAGTTGGAGAGAGGTTTCTACAACTAGATGGAACTCAGTAGTTACTACTAGTAGCTGTGAGCTAATGATGAGTTCAAGAGAGTCCCCGGGCCCGCGTCTCCCAGCTATCTCCTGTCCTCATAGATGTCGCCACTTTTCTTGATAAAAGTTGAAAATCATTGTCTGTTAAGTTGTCCATCAGCTCATCACCATTACATCTTCCATGGCTGTCAAGTGCTGAAGTCAGTGACGTGCTGGGGTCACAATAATCGACATTTCTATTGCAGGTACAGATGAAGTGCACTTTAAAGCAAAAAACATTTCTTGTGTCAACACCGCTCTGTCCGAGGAATCAGTTTCATTTTCCTTGTCATCAGCATTGTCCTTTGTGGTTAAATCTGTAAGTGTAAGCAAGTCTGTTGCTGGATGATCCCTGTCTGCTGGATTGTTGTCATGTGTCAAGGAAACAAGGAAAAAATGGAGTCTCCAGAACCGCGGTAGATCACATTACATACCGTAAGTAGCAAATAAACCATTATAGAATGGTGTAGTAAATACACACAGATAAAAACGTGTATTTTCACTTCATTACAGTAAGTCAGACAAATATTGCAAATAAACCAACGTAATTTCTTGTCATTTACAATAAACCGTGCATAACTGATGGGAATGGACTTCAATTTATCTCCAAAAAAAACCCCTTGATGTGTGTAAATCCACTTGGGGTTCAAGAACAGATTATGAAAAAATATATTGAAGGGCTCCAATTTTATCAGAGTACTTGGCAAGTGTGCAGTGGGCATTGCTAAAGTCACAGAGCTGGAATTATCTTGACACCAAACTTGCCTGGCTTGTCTGGGCAGTACACTGGGTAGCTGAGACTTGAGATTGCCACTCCATGCCAACGTGCCTTTGTCGACAGCCATGTTGATGTTGGGGGTAGACATTGGCGGTGAAAGTTTCCGCAAGTTTGTTGAGGAAGGGACAGATCTAGAGGAGGGGGTTTCTGCCTTCCTCTTCCATGAGAACAAAGTTGTCGATGTCAGTGACATGGAGGAAAGTCGGGATAGTTTCAAATCTTTTCCTTATCACGTTGTATGGGTTCAATGCCCTTATCAACACTATAAGGCTATTTTAGGGGTAGGACCTCTGAAAACTCCACCAAAACACCATAGTTCATGAAGGCCCAGCCTGGTACTTGAATCAGGGCCATCTACTTTCTAGTCCACAATGATACCAACAGAACTACTTTACAGTCCAGCATGACCAACAGAACTACCGGAGCGGCCGCCCTCGTCCCCTCACAGCACTTGAGAAGAAAGAGAGACTGCACAGATGGACCTGACACGTCCCAGCTAGGAGCCTTTAAAAGATCCACAGTTCATCTGTCCCCTCGACAGTTGAGCTGACTACTGACTGAATTCCGTATTGGAAAATGTGTATTTTAGCTTCATTTACGATAAGTGTTGAATTTATGTAATTTACCACAAATTGCATATATTATAAATAAAAGGCTATCAAGAAATTTAAAAAATCAGATTATGTTCAAATCCGTTCAGGATTCTTCCTGGGAAAAAAAATTAGAGGGTTCCAATTTTATCTGTGTATCTGACTTTGTCACTTTGTGTAGAGATTTGTGCCTCTTATTATAACAAAGAATTTTTGGCCAGTTGGAGATTCCCAATTTTATCACACCACTTGGCAGGTCTGGTACCTTGATACTCATGCAGAAGTTGTGATACAGAATAGCCAATACAAAAGTATTTATAAGACAAATAATACATAAATAAATTTAAAAAAACATAAATCAATTATTTAACTTTGTTAATTTTTTTCTAGTAGCCTACAGGTTCATAGTCTCTACCACCACAAGAAAGTCTCATTTATGACCAGTTTGAAAATAGCAGAGCACAGGGCAGTGTCAGCTAGAATACAAAGTCACAACTTAGATCAAAAGATTTACTTACAAGAAATACATACTTGCATATATATAAAAAAAATTTAAAACCCAGGCCATCTCATCAGTTTGTACAAAGGGAAATAACTCATTATGATATATCGTCCTTCACCTAGACGTGTTAGAGTCATTTCCCCTGCTATTGGGCAGTCAGAGGAATTAAACAGAGGACAGCATTAAAAACCTGTAGTGTTACACTTCCAGCCCCAATATACATGACATAAAAGATAATACTAGTTGTGGTAGTAGTCAAAACTTAGATTTAACAGTTTATTTACAAGAAATATATGACACATTTTTTTTAAACGCAAGAGGTTCAAGTTTGGGTTTCATTCAACACACTAACAAACTACATCCAACAGCTCACATTTTGCACACTTGCCTATAGACTCTCCATTCATCCTTCACACTGGTGAGTGTAGTACTGTGTTGGCCACCCAGCTCAAACCTCTCCACACAGTCTGCTCCTGTTTCAGCATGACATGTGTATTGTGGTTTGAACAGGGTGTTCACCCTTGCGCCACGATGAGGCCCAGTACTTCCAACTTCTGCAAGGGAGGGGATGGGGAAGGGGAACTGTGGCAGTCTCTGCTGGAAATCCGACTCAGGCCAGTCTTGGCTTTAGGTCTGCTGAGTGACCACGTCTTCCGGCTTCATGACGGGCTCTCCAGTGACTCGTCCTCTCTTGCCGGTCAAACGTGTCTCTCCGTCCTCTGGTGGAACGCCTGTTTTCAGGTGGACGTTTTACAGTGAAAAGATCTATGAAATCAATCACAACAAAAAACCATCGAAGGTGCCAAATGTCAAACAAAATTAACAAAGGCAAAGGCAACCTAGAGCCTAAAGGCAAATTTTGTTCACTTAAATTGTCCCAAACTGGAGTTTCTTTTCTTAGAATCTTAATTCAGAAGAAGTTTGACACTGAATTATTTCTGCATCTCAACTTTGGACAAAGTTCTGCATTTCAAAACATAGCACACAAAATATAGCAACACTCAAACTGTTCGAAGTTTTAAGATCTATTCAACATAGCAAACAGATCTGTACTGTTTCAAAAACAAACTGTAACCTTCAATCCTGTACATATCTGAATCTCTTCATAAACTTGACGAAACAGTGTTGTATGACGGCCAAAAAATGCAAGGTGTGAAACTGACTGGGAGGAGAACGATGACAAAAATCACTGCGCTGTCTTAAACCTTCAGCTTTGTGCTCAGACTAAGGTCTTTACTCTGTGCTCTCAGATGTTTTTCCTTCGAGTCGTCTAACGCTGCACCGGCTCTAGCAACCGTTACTGATCTCTGTGTCTGTATTGGCTGTTTGAGACTATCTGCAGTCACGGTTGGTGAATTTTTCTACAGCATTTGACTCTCTCTGACATGAGCAAAATATGAGACCGCAGGCTCTGGAGAGGTACACTTATGCAAATTTTATACGAAGCTCTCCGAGAAGTGGTTACAACATTATTTTCATCTCTTTTGGTATTTAATGTAAGTCCAAAGTTACCACAGGTGCTGGAGAAACAGGTAAGCTGATGTTGGCAAAGAGGTGTTCTCTTGTGTTTTGGTGCTCAGAGCACAGTTGTAAGCAAACAGAAGATACCTGATGATAATTTTGAGTACTTTGCCAACAGGCGCAGCCATGAGACGACTGAGCATGAAATAAGCAAACAACTGTTGAAATGAAGCTTGTCTACTTTATTGGTCGCTGCCAATCATGGAAGCAAAATAATTTTTTAATCTATAATTTTGTCCCGTGCCCGTTCCTAGCATAGATCTAGAATCTATTATTGTAAGAACGCCATCATGAACAATAATCAGTACAACCAGGGGAAGAAAGTTAGTAGGTACACAGTACTAAGAACAAAATAACAGTAAACACATTGCAAACAACACCTTACAAATGCTAGACAACACAAAATCGCAAACACACAGAAAACTCGAACTATGACAGTACCACAATATTATTGTTAGCTTAAAGTATTTTATATCCTAACATCCTCTGCTCCCAAAGAGTCACGAGGCGGGCACTTTCCCACATTCCCACTCCCTAGTGGAGCAAACCAAATTTAGTTAATCGTCACCAGACAAAAAAAATAGGCCGAAATATGTGCGCTCAGTCTCATCTACTGGTGACTGTTAATGGGGATCTACTCTAGGGGCATGGACCATGGAAAACAACAACACACACATACATACACATTTGTCTCTACACTATGGCCAGCCAAGTAAACCAAAAATCCCAATCATCATGCCTTTACACAAAATTTAAAACTGCCATCATTTGAAACGAAAAAGATTGGCCCACTACCCTACCCCGTCACACCAAATACAGGCATTCTGGATTCCCTTGCCTTCCAAAACTGAAACCCATTATGAAAGGTCAAAGGTCAGTTCCCCCTTGACCCCTGAACTGTCATATTTGATAACAATATTGGACTTTTAGCCACGAGCCCACACTCTTAAAACTAGAACACCTTTTTCATATCAACTACTCAAAAAAATACAAAAATATTCAATTTCAAGTGGCTCGTGGATGTGTTCCACCCCTTTCCCTCAGCTCAACTCCTTCAAAAACTGCCCTGTCCAAAAAATGAGTTGCCACTATCGTTGTTACCTGGCTCTCTGACTCCTGAGACTAACGTCTTCGACTTCACCGACTATGAGGGATTGAGCATCATTTCCCCTTTGACACCCAACCCCTCATACCCAATTTCCTCTTCAGACTGAATAGCCCCACCACCCCATGCCTTTCAAAGCACCAGCCTCAAAAACAAGCTTATAAATTAAATATAAGAAAACTAAAAAACAACACAACTCCCACTGTTAAATCTATCTCAGCTCTCCTCATTATCAATGGAAGGACTTCTGAAACGAGCGACCACCTCAACAAACACAACAAAGAAGAGACCAACCCCTAACCCTACTCCTACCCTAGCCCTCTATTCTACTCTGCCTCATACTTGTGGTCGCTTGTTATGGATATCCTCCCTTATCAATTCCTACAGTTGTCTTTTTCTCCCTCCTCTTCCCCTAAAAATATTAATTGTCTTTTTCCTTTGCTACAACTAATAAAACTGATGACCTACTTGACTGGCTATAATATATATATATATATATGACAAGAGACAAACAAAGGGTCGGTGTTAGTGGGTTGTAAAGAAGGTGAATCCTGTTGAGACTGGCGCACCTCCTACCACAAATTATAGGTTATACTATATATGGCGTCTTACCTTTATCTAATGAATTATAAACTCAAACATTTACCTATTTTAAGATGATGAACACAGTAACAACACACTCATCCATACTTTCTACAACAAAAACAAAGAAAAAAATGTCGGCAGGTTCCAATCCAAGTCATGGACAAGCCAATTCCCTGAGAGAGAGAGAGAGGGGGGAGAGAGAGAGAGAGAGAGAGAGGGGGAGAGTGAGAGAGAGAGAGAGAGAGAGAGAGAGAGAGAGAGAGAGAGAGACATGGGGGGGGGAGCGAGAGTAGAGAGAGGAGGAAGGAGGGGAAAGGGGGAGGAGAGAGAGAGACAGAGAGAGAGAGACAGAGAGTGAGAGAGAGAAAGAGAGAGAGAGAAACAGAGCGAGCGAGAGAGAGGGAGGGAGAGAGAGTGAGAGAGAGAAAGAGAGAGAAACAGAGCGAGCGAGAGAGATGGGGGGGGGGGAGAGAGAGAGAGAGAGAGAGAGAGAGAGAGAGAGAGAGACACAAAGAGTAGTAGTATAAGGTTTTACGGCGCTCGCAACTGCTAAGGTCATATGAGCGCGCAGACACAAAGAGAGATCCCCACAAAAACCATTAAAAGTGAACAGTCTGACTCTGGACTTCAGACATGCATGTTTATACTAGATCTAGAAGGTGGGCAAAAGCCAAAAATACAAAAATCCTAAAACCATACACACACATCGCAAGAATAGAATAAAACTTAAACAACACACGGACCCAGACAAACACACACTTGCCACACAGCCTACAATACAGTACAGAAGTCCATCACTCAGACTCAGTGATCTTATCACTTAGCCACCATCTTGTCCTATCCCTTCATCGGTTTTCTCCGTAGTACGTCATAGAGAACAATCACCTCTCCACTCCTAGGTCCACTAATCCACCGCACCTCTCTCCCAGCCACCCGCCTCAACCACTCAGTGTACCATTCCGGCCCTCCAGCGGCCAATCTATTGACAACTGGGACACCTTGACTATCTCTAGCTTTATCTACCTCAATCAAATACCGGTTTCCTTCACAATCCACACCGATTAAGTAAGTATCCCTTCTCACCTCTAATCCACAGAACATGTACTCTCCTTCCAGGCCATAGAACTGGCCTTCCTCCAAGTCAAGACGCTCACCTAGACGAAGTAGCGATTCAGCGGTGAAAAGAGACGAAGAATTCCCCATGGCGGCGGCAAAGACAAAGAGATCGAGAGGGCAGGACTCTTCTCCTTCACTGGCTTCAGCTCAGGAACGAATGGATCTCTGGAAGACAAAGACACTAGATCTAAAGATCGACGTGAAATCTTCAGAAAAGCGACTCGACAGCCAAACAATTGTTCTTGATAACTTGCAAATCGTCTCAAACCAAATGCAGTGCGTCAATACACTTCAAACAGCAGATAGCTTTTGCAACTCGCAACCAAGAGCAAAATGGCGACCAAAATGGCGACTGACTTGGCCTACATCCGCTCAAAGATTTTTCCAACAATTCCTTAGTAAAATATACCGGAAGTTCGTAGAATGGGGAATAGCGGATGTACCCCATGAAAGAGGCAAAAAGCATTGTTCACAAAATAATGTCCTTCACACAAACGCGCAAAATAATTTAAATCTTTTTTAGAATAGTTTTTAAGAGTTTTACGGCACTTGCACCACAATAGGGTCATATAAGTGCCGAAGATTAGAGGTGTTATAAGAAAGTAATAAACAAAAACAAAACAAAAAAAAGAAGGAGGGGAGATAAAGACGATAGATATTTGATACTGATAGGAAAGAAGAAGCAAACCACACTAGAGCACCCGCCAACCACCCACTTAAATCTGTTGTTTGTTTTTTTTAATAAAGTTGAGTCAACTACATGTATACAGATCTATTTACCCAACATTGTTATTTTCCTTATTGATTATAGTTATAAGCAAGCTATGCTATTAATTATATATTCAAAATCGTAGATCTATACAATCATGTAGGCTAGGCCTACCCTGTCCTCAGAGGCGAAGCGTCTATATAATCAAATACACACTGCTTCCCTTCCTAATTTTGAAACATTGTCGCAGTCAAATTCACCCATAGACTTAAAAGTAAGCTTAAAGTGAGGCCGGAAGAGTCTACCAATAGAGTTGAAGGGACAATGGGCATAGCAGTCAAAACTGTTTCATTGAGAGAGAGAGAGGGGGGGGTGAGGAGAGAGAGAGAGAGAGAGAGAGAGAGAGAGAGAGAGAGAGAGAGAGAGAGAGAGAGAGAGAGAGAGAGAGAGACAGAGAGAGAGGGAGAGGGAGAGAGAGAGACAGAGAGGAGAGAAAAATTGGAGGTTTGTGAGGGGGGGGGTTCTTTCTCTTTTTTAAAAGTTTTAGTAGAGGTTTTACGGCACTCGCAACTGCATAAGGTCATATGAGCGCCAGATGATTAGAGGTGTTACAAAGAGAGTAACAAACATAAAAGAGAGAGAGAGAGAGAGAGAGAGAGAGAGATCTTTGACAGGAAAGAAGAAGCAAACCACACCAGAGCACCCGCCAACCACCCACTGAAAAAAAGGGGGGGGGTGTGATTAAAGAAGATGACAAAAAGCCGTAAAGGTGACCTGTGATGTGTAGTAATACAATCAAGAAAAGAGACACAATCTAAGTGAATTCCTTTTATTTTCTTCTCGTTCAAGACAAACATGATATGTACTTCTGTTGTTCATGGAAGTGAAATGGAAAGATTTCGTCATCTACGCCAAGCGTCGAAGTCAAGCATTCTCCTTTTTTTGCGCGGGGGGGGCCTCATTTGATAGATTCCATGTCGGAGAGGACTAATTTAACTTTTTATAATTTCTTCCCAATTAATTTGTGCCTTGCCTAAGTCCCACATGAGGTCTGGACAGTGACAGGAAATGCATCCGCTGCTGTCTCTCTTCCTCTTTCCCCCTGCACAGACTCAGTCCAGGTTTAGAAAACGCCAGCAGATTGTACCACGAGCGAGTTTGTTGGCTCCCACCTCCGGGCTAGGCATGCTTAGTAAGAGTTTTACGGCACTTGCATTGCAACACGAAATAAGTGCCCAAGATTAGAGGTGTTACAGGACAGGTGTTTGATAAGAAAGAAGGAGCAAACCACACCAGAGCACCCGCCAACCACCCACGGGGAAAATGTCTTCATGCATGATACAGTGGAATCCTGTTATAACGAGAGGGAGGGAACCGGTGCGAAATGTCCGTTATACTATAGCAGGATTCTCGTTATAAGGGATCCAGTAATAAATTCAAGGGAAATAGTAAAGTAGACCTAATCTATGAGTTTGGTTTCTGTTTATTCCTTTTTGTATTTCCCCTGATGATGATTTTGTTCAAACATGATCTCTAGGTTTTACTTGATCAAAAATCGAATCAGTTTTTCTTCTCTAGCACTAGCAATGTTGACAGTTCGGCGTTGGCGATCCGAAAGAAGAGGCTCTGGCTTTAGGCTAACTCGCCCGCTGTGTTGTCCCCAACCCCACCACACCCTGCAGTACGTTGCGTCTGCTTGCGCACGTCACACATTCACTCCATCTATCACAGCATTGTTACCTCTCCATCCCGCACCAGAGAAGTGAGAGGCTCGGTATGCCTAGAAAATCTAAACTGGGCCGGCCTATCACACGATGCGTTCTGCTTGTCTGCGCATGCCACACCCTCCCCATTCATTCACCCCGGCCTTCATTGTTGGTTTACTAGGGCTCTCCCATTCTTTGTTTCGCTGGATCACAAAACAACTTTCTCAACTGGCGAGGTTTTATAATATGTGCAATTGGTCTGTGTGCTGTGCACAGCAGCAGCAATATTCCGTTATAACCGACCTGCGTGACTGACTGATTGCGCAATAGCAGTATTTTATTTACAAATATAAAGAAGGAAAAAAAACGGGGTTTTAGAATAGTGTCTTTATAACAGACTTCTCCTTATTTCAGGACTCATTATAAGTGGACTCCACTGTAATTACAATTTAATTCTTTTGGGTGTTTTATGCCTCTATCGATACTAGGCCATAGGGTCGCTTTTAAACACAAGGGGGCTTTCCCGAAAAATGCTGTTTTGAGAAAATCGAAGGTAACGTTTTTGCTCCTTGTTCAGTTTCTTTAATTAAAAGACAATGAGAGTTTTTCTCTATAGCCAAACAAATATAAACACACCAGAGAAACCAAACTTCTCCCATAGGTAGGGCAATGCCCGATTTTTGTGTAGATCAAGATTTCTGGAAACCCCCGAAATCTGGGTTAGTTAGCCCTCTTGTCCTTAAAAGCGACCATCATATATAGCCTATGTACTATCTCTACATCTACATCATTTTTGGATAGGGACTGCTCCGACCCACGACAAACGCTTCCATTTCCACATGATTCAAAAACATTCCTAGTGAACCTACTAGTACTAGTCTAGTACTACTACCCATTCCACACTGCAATTTTTATTTCGTAAGAGTTTTATGGCACTTGCAAAAATATAAGGTCATATATAAGTGCCGAGGATTAGAGGTGTTACAAGACAAGGGAGTAACAAACACAAAAAAAGGAGGAGGGAAAAGGACAACAGACGTTTAATAGGAAAAAAGGAGCAAACCACACAAGAACACCCTCCAACCACCCAAGCAGAAATTATGAGGTCATGCAAGAAGATGTATGCAAGATACATATGACATGTAGTATGTGATATATTATTTTTAGTGTCAAATACTGCAAGGGTCGTACCAACAAAAGCACTCGTCATTCGTATCATCTCATTTGTCCCCGTCGTTTTATGCAAGAAAAATTCTGAAATTATGGAAACTGAGCCCAAAAAATGTGAAAGTATGCGATTCAGTGAATTTTAACAAAGACTGATTAAGAAAAATAAATATAATTAGAAATTATGCAAAAAATGATCAAATTTTGCTAAATTATGCGGGGTGCATAAAATCAAGGGGACAGGTTTATACGGAGCGTGCGTTTCCATGAACCTGTGCAAAGGGAAGAAGGGACGCAGTCATCTCACTCAATTCTGTATTATTTTTCTAGTGGTGTGGTGGGTAGACCCCCCCCCCCCCCCAAGAAAAAAAAAATCCCCACAAAAAACTTTTATTTACAACACAAAAGCATCACCAAGAACAACAAAGAATAACAACAGCAACAAACCAAAAACAAAACGAAACGACAACACTGAAGATAACAGACAAATCAACAAGTAAATTTTTATATTTTTTCAAAGAACACACGCACAAATCAGCATTTTCATTTTTTGCCCATCCTCAGCACGATACAGACCACTGTCTGTGGTGTAGTGGGTAAGCCAATTGTCCTCGCATGTTGGAGACCTGAGTTCGAATCTCGGGTGGGGAGGATTTTTTCAATCTAGTATCTTGGTCTTTCTGCCGGGAGAAATATCATTGAGCGCATGTATAATATATGTGTAGATAGATGATTCTATATAATATATATATATAAATGTGTAGATAGCCTGCCTCCAAAATAATCTATCAGTATCACATGTCTCGATGGAAGTGTTCAACAGACCCTACATTTTTTTAAATTGAAGGGCCACATTACTTACCCTTACATTTACAGATTAAAGAAAAAATGAAATATTTATTATAAAAAATTACTTGAAAAAAAAAAAAGCTGTTAATACAACTTACGTGATGTTGACAAAATGTTACAATATGGTTGTAAGGTAAGTAGGCTACATGTATTGTAAGGCGTCATTATTCAAAATTTGAACCCTATTACTAATTAGTCGAAAAATGAGGAAACTTTAGTTTCTTTCGTAATAAAATCTTACCAGAAGAGGCAACTTACATGATATTCCTTACAAATAGTGTGGAAAAAGCAACCTTCACATAATAATATTCTTCTACTTCTTTTCTAGGTTGCCATAGATAGAGGGATGACGGTCCTAATCCTATTCAAATCCTTCACCATTACGGGGCCGTTCAAATATAATCTTACGCCTGGGAGGGGGGGGGGGGGGGTCTTGGGCTCCTGTAAGAAAAGTGTAAGAAAGGGGCATTGTGCACCAATGTCAATGTAACATTACACTTTTGTGAGGTGAAAAAATATTTTTTACTTAATTATTAACTCTGCATTTGTTGATGATAACTAATTTCACTTTTTTTTTCAGCTTAAATTATCAGTAATAACAGGGATTGTGAGAGATACAGCGGA